TCACGTTGCATTTGGATCACATACCTCCAGTCTCTCAAAAAAAAAAAAAAAAAAAAGAATGTCGTTTGCCAACTAGACTGTTGTAATTATTCAAAATTTTTTGAGTGCCACCTTTTGGTGAAAATGCACAAGGAAAGGCCAGGGGAGGACAGAGTGACACCATGTGTGCAGGACGGTCAGCACAAACACCTCATCAGCAAACTCTCTTCATCGTCACCTGTGTCACCAACCCATGAAGTTCAGCCCTTTTAAACCCAGGCCCTCCTTTGAAGAACAAAGATCGTATGTTCATTCTCAAGTCTGACTCATAAAAGTAACGCTCCAAATAAGAACCCGTGTTACCGAGGCTGGAATAGCTTTTTCACGCTGCCCCTTGTCCCCTACAGAGACCCTGATGGTCTGCCTGGCCCGGCCCTCCCAGGGGCACGTGTTCTGCTCCTTGCCCTGCTCCTGGATGCCCAGGAGAAGTTATTCTGGATGCCTCCATGGACAGAACCCGCTGCCGTGGCCAAGGGGTTAAAAGTGATTCCAAGAAGCCTTTAGATTCCTCTTCCCATTTTTAAAGACAAGCCATGCCTTCCCTCCACGTTCACGACACACCAGGATCCATCTACACCTTCCCCCTCCAAACCAACCAACCAACCAACCAACCAAAGGAAAACAGAAGTCCCATCTCAAAACCAGTACCTTTTCTCCCGTAGGCTTTGTCGGATGAATATTTGAGCAATTCCTGGACCACGTCGGCTTCTCGCTCTCTGTTCCAGGACACAAGAGGAGCCTGTCCCACGCCTGCAATCACAGTAGCCAAGAAACATTTACATACGTTTAAAGTAAACCACAAGGAAGCAACCTCACAATTTTTACTTGTAACAGAATTGCAAACTTACTAATGATACTAACAGAGATTTTATGCAACAGAAAAGGCTCTTGTCCAAGTCAATTTGTGAAAAACAGAGGACGGAAAACAACAAAAAGGCAAAACACAAACCAAAAAAACCCCTTATAACCAGCAGTGTAAGTCCCCGCTGGGGAGAGGGGAGAGACCCAGCTCTAAATGGAACCCACCTTGCCCACCTGAGCCAGCCTGCAGCCAGGCCCCGCTGTGGCGCTGGGGGAATAGCCAACTGCCGCCATAAGGGGCCCCCAAGCTCCCAAGCTCTGTCCAGGGCAGAACCTGGCACTGTCAATACGGCGCGGGTCCGCCCAGCATGTCTGGGCTAAGACAGTGCTTACCGCCCTCACTGGGCTCGAGAAACCATTTTTTTGGTTTTTTTTGAGACAGTCTTGCTTTGTTGCCCAGGCTACAGTGAGTGCCGTGGCATCAGCCTAGCTCACAGCAACCTCAAACTCCTGGGCTCAAGCGATCCTCCTGCCTCAGCCTCCCAAGTAGCTGGGACTATAGGCATGCGCCACCATGCCCAGCTAGTTTTTTCTATATATATATATATATTAATTGGCCAATTAATTTCTTTTTATTTATAGTAGAGACGGGGTCTCGCTCTTGCTCAGGCTGCTTTCCAACTCCTGACCTCAAGCAATCCGCCCACCTCGGCCTCCCAGAGTACTAGGATTACAGGCGTGAGCCACCGCGCCCGGCCGAGAAACCATTTCTGAACGAGCCCTCCGCCCCCCGCCCAGTCCCCTCTAACCCACGAACACACAACTCCGAATGTGCTCTCCTCCCTGCACAGAAACCTGTCCTTGTCCCTCCTGCCACCAATTCTTCAGTGACGTCTAGGATCAGTGCCCCTGACCCCAGCACAAGAGTGTCCACGGCCCCCTCTCCTGCCTCCCTCAGCACAGCCCTGGGACCGGGCCATGCACGGCCACATGCTACGTCTCTCCTGCCTAGAGACCAGGAACACCCTGCTCCACTCAGCCACCCTCCCCGGTACTCAGCACCGAGAGCGGAGGCTGGGGGTGCTCTCCTCCAGGGCCCACGCCGCTGAGCACCGGCCCGCTGGGTGCACAACGTCACTGCGTGGCTCTGGCATAGGGTGGTTAGCCCTGAGGGCCTGGGCAGCACGTCCTGGGACGTATGACCAGCAACCAGCACCGTCCCAGGCACACTGCAGGTGCGTAACCACATTCCTCAGAGCCCTGCACTAACAAGCCAGCCCCCCTGCTCTCAGGACTGCACGGAGCACGGTCCTACTGCCACTCAAGGCAGCCTCTTCGAGGACACTGCTGGCCAGCACACGCAGTCCTCGCTGTGCGGCTGCAGCGTTCTGCAGCGCATTCACACCATTCCACTCTCACTGCTAGCTTCCTTTCTTGGAGGTTTTTCTGTTTTGTTTTTTGTGTGTGAGAGTCTCCCTCTGTCACTTGGGCTAGAGTGCAGTGGCATCATCACAGCTCACTGCAACCTCAAAGTCCTGGGCTCAAGCAATCCCACAGGCGTGCACTACCACGCCTGGCTAATTTTTCTATTTTCAGTAGACATGGAGTCTTGCTCTTGTTCAGGCTGGTGTCAAACTCCTGACTTCAAGCGATCCTCCCGCCTCAGCCTCCCGGAGTGCTAGGGTTACAGGCGTGAACCACTGCACCGTACGCAGCCCCTTTCTCAGGAGTTTGATAAATGTGAATCAATCTCTAGGGTCCTATCTGACCCCAAACGCACTACCGTAACTGGGTACCCCGACTGCAGGGCAGGCTCAGTCAAGCCCAGCTGTCTGCGCCCAGGTGGCGATGACTTTCTCTGCCCTTCACGTGGCAGATGTGTTCGGGGCGAGAGGCTGCTGAGGCCTGCCCCGCCCCCCTGGAGAAAACCCCGTCTCCTCCAGTGGGGGTGGTGCCTGAGGACAGCCACAGGCCCCCAGCAGCAAGAGGACCACGCTAGCTCCAGAAAGGCCCGGCAACATGAAGAGGGGTAAAGGAAGATTAACTTTTGAGCCAAGTCCTCTGTGGGAAGCCTCGAATCAGAAAGCCCACTGCTCGTGTCCACAGAAAGGTCTGACGCTCATGGGTCCCGTGTCTCCCCTGTGGGCAGTTTCGGTCGGCTGGATGCTCTGACTCCAGGAAGCTCTGACCTCACTGCCCCAGGGAACAGACTGGGGGCAACAGAGGTAAGCAGAGCCCCCGGGTCTTCCCCACCTTCGCCCAGGCCCTTCCTGCTCCCCCTCCCGCGCCCAGGACCCTGCAGGCCCAGGTGCGTACCCACGCGGCCCCCAGGGTGCTGGCAGCTCCCAGACGGCTCCTGGGCCGAGGCGTCACAGGGCCCAGCACTCCTCTGGCCTTCTGGAGGCTCGTTCTCTTCTGCTTCCTGCTGTGACTCTAGCTTCCTTCTTTTCCTTTTCTTTTTCCTCGGAGACTCTGCCACGGGCTCAGGCTCACCGCCGCTGTCCGTGGGAGAGCAGCTGTGGGGAAGTGGGGGGCAACGGTCAGCTCTCCGCAAACCAGAGGCAGAGTGGGGGCTCACGGACAGACACCCCAAACTCTGTAGAAAACACCACCCCATGGGACCCAGGGCACAGAGCAGGCCTGCTGTGCCCTGTAACTTCATCCCTTTGGCATGTTAGCTCGTGCTCTGCAGGGCAGGCACAGCGGGGGACTTGCAAGTGCCTGCTGCCCACAGCCACACGCCCCTGGACTCACTGAGGCGAGTCCAACCGGCTGGAAGTGCAGGCTGCTGTGACCTGATATAGCCGCAGAGCCTGACCCGGCCAGGGTCCTTGGGCCATCCCGCACGTACAGTGATGGCCGAGATCTGAACACTGCTGTCGCTTTAAGAAACAATGCATTGACGACTTGTTTTCTTCAGAGACAGAGTCTCAGTCTGTTGCCTGGGCTGGAGTGCAGTGGTGTCATCGCAGCTCACTGCAACCCCAAACTCCTGGCATCAAGCGATCCTCCCGCCTCGGCCTCCCAGAGTGCTAGGATTGCAGGTGTGAGCCGCTGGGCCCGGCCCCAATCCACTGATATTCACTGCGGGAGACATTCTACCCCGCGCTCACATTTTGGAAGTTCGGATCAGTCCGCTCCGTGTCCAGACCACACCTACCTGAGAACGGACAGTCTGGTTTGTGCCTTGCTTCCCGATGGAGGCGCTGCCTCGTCCTGCCCTTACCTGTGCCAAGGTGGGTCCTGGTGCAGGCCACCTTCTTCACAGAGTCCCTCCGCTCCCTTCTTCCTCCTCTTCCTGCTGCTCACGTGGCGGCCGCCCACGGCGCATCCCGTCTGCTGGCCGTTCGCCTGTGGCCGTGCGCCCTTGTCCTCTGGTCCCTCGGCAGGCAGCTCCGCCTGGCCCTTCTTCCTGCACTCGGGGCTCCGAGGCCGTCCCTGCGTCTGCCCCTCCTGCGGGACGGCTGTGGCCGCGTCCCCCAGGCGCTTCCTCTTCTTCTTTTTCCTCTTCCCATGCGGAGCGGGAGTGGCAGCGGCACCCGCGGGGTGCTGTGGGAGGCGCATCTCTGGGCCCGGCGCCTGGAGCTCCCCCGTGCAGCCCTTCTTCCTCTTCTCAGAGGGGCTCTGGGGGGACCCGCTGGCCTCTGGCAGCTGGTGTGGAAGGGACATGAAGTCCCTGTTGACCTGAGGCACGGCCCTCGAGGCGGAGGGGTGGCTACGTGGCTCTGACGTCCCTGGGGGCTGGGGGCGGCTGGACAGTGACGCGGAGGTGGGGCCGGCGGGAGGCTGCGGACAGCTGGGTGGTCGGGGAGCAGGTGGCACTGCCCTGTGGGGACAGCCAGGCAATGGGGAGAGGCTGCTCTGAGACCGAGGGCCCAGGCCTGCCCCTCGCCTGCCCGCCCTCACCCCCTCCCTTCTCCTGAGTTTAATTTTAAGAAGGTTTTTCCCTGTCAATTCTCAGGTGTACATAAATTACACGTATGTTTCGAAGACAGGCTGGTGTCTGTCTAAATTCAAAGTCAAATCAAAGATCAAAGTTAGTAAAAACTGTTCTGTGTCGTAGTTTCTTGTCACCAAGCGGTTCAAAGCATTTTTGCACACTGTAATTTAAAAAATTTTTAATACCAATGTGTTACAGGAAGGAAGCCTCCACTAGGCAGTAAATGGTAAGATTTGGAAAATCCTGTTAGGATTAATTCTCTAGCCTCCCCAAGGCTCAGGGTGCTCCAGTGCAGGCAGCGAGCCTCGTGAGGGGCGGGTTTGGGCGCCATGCACCTTCCACTGTTACTTCTCACGGGGAGATCGGGAGGGCAGACGTGCAAAGCCGGGTCACACGCAGCACGAGTGAGGGATGGGACCGGGCGCTAACCAGGCAGCCTCTTTGAGCCCCCAGGAAAGGGAACTTCCCTCTCTGAGCTCCAGCATCCTTGCCTGTCAACGAGTGTCAGCCATGCCCAGCTCACATGGTCACCGAACCACACAAGACTGCCATCGTCACCATGCAAACCAGAACAAGCCACACTGGCTGTGCCAACTGTACCATAATGCTGCACCACTCTGAGTGTTTTCTGCAATTTTTTTTTAAGAAGGTTATATGACAAAGTAACAAAGAAAAAAATACCCAGTATGCCACAAACGTTTAAGGACCTCCCCTGTGCAAAAATACCATGCCGTGGGTGTGTGTGAGAGAGACAGACAGAGAGAGGGAAGAAGAGGGGTGGCTGAGGCTATGGGACACACCCAGACGGGCCGTGGAGCACTGGAGGGAGGTGGACCCGTGCACTGGTGCGACACTGGGCTCGGACACGGCAGCGCCGAGGCAAACCCCAGTCGCCCACCCGCCTCCTGGCTCACCTGTCGTTCTTTCCTTCCCCCCCAGCTACCAGCGGCTGTCGAATCCCCGCCAGCCATCAGACCACCACCGTCACTGACTCTCAACATTCTGCCTCTCAACACAGCCTGGAGACCCAGCACTCCCTGTGTGACAGCCTCCGTAGGGAGGGAAGGCTCCGAACCTTCCGGAAGCATCTGCCAGTGTGCCGAGAACAGTGCAGGAGCCCAGGTAGGGAGCTCAGCAGGGCAGAGAGGCAGACCCCAACTGTACTGCAGCCCTGGGGGTGCTGATGGGGAGCCACAACACGGCGCTGGAGGCAAGACGACGCTAAAGGGGCTCCCCGGACCCTGGGTTCACTCAGGACCTTTCGGGTCTGCGGGCCAGGACGGTCGCCACACGGATGTGGCGTGCAATGACAAAGTCGGCGTCGACAAGTCGGGACCGTGGAGACCGACCGGCCGACCGATGGCCTCTGAGCACCCTGGCTCCTTTCCACTCGGGCACAGAGCACAGGGGCCGCGGGTGGGGCGCCCCTGAACCTCCGCCGCGGCTCCCGCTCCTCTGCAGCCACACGGGCGGCCACGGGGTGACCGGGTCGGCGCCCCGCACGGCCCACGCCCGAGGCTTACCTGGCTTCGCGGACAGGCCACGCAGAGGCAGCGACGGGGTGAGAGGTTTTCGTGGGGTGGGTGAGGTCGGAGGACGGTGAGGGGGGAGGTGCACGGAGGTCACTGCCGGTCGCCCTCCGCGGGGTGCTGGCCTGCAGTTATCGACATAAATAAAAACTTGGTGGTCTAAAAGAGGTTTCCGTGAGTGAAGAGGGAAAATGAAAAAGTAACAAAAAAATAAAAACAAAACAAAAAAATAAAAGAGCCCAGAGAGAAAGATGAGGGAACAACAGAAGGAAGAAAAAAAGGGGGCGGTGAGGGGTGGGAGAAGGGTAGAAGAAGAATCAGAAAAGTGTTTTTGGTTAGAAACAAAAAGGAAAAAAGGAAGGAAGTTTTAACAAAACTCTCAGCAAGACAATTACATCCTCTTGTTGGCTGCCACCTTGCCGGCTGCCTGCTACGGAGGTGCCAGCCAGCCCCAAAGCCTCTGCTCTCTGGGCTCCTCCCGCCCGGCCCAAGCACCTAGATGTGTCCCAGCGGGGCCCCGCTCTCTTCTGGGGCTCGGTTAGGATAATTCCATCTACAAAAGCAGGGAACTGCTGTCGCGCCAACCGCCATGAGCCGCATAAAGTATCACTGGACAGTCAGGGGGCCCTCAAAACCTCCACCGCTTTCGCCCAAAACAGCCCTTTTGTATCCTGCACGTGGCCAAGAATGTCCGAAAAACACTTTGTTCCTCTGGAACAAGGGAGGCCAAAGCCCCTGGACAATGTCCCCTGTCCCCCAAACTGCAATCAGACCTTCTCTCTGAGCCCTGCCGACACCTTCAGCAACAAAACCCCCAGACACCCACCTTCTTGGCAGAAAGCGCCAGCTTCTTGGCTGGTGGGGGAGACATGGTGCTCGCGGGCTCGGGGGCGGAGCCGCTCGGGATGGGGGACTTCGGCTTGGCCACCTTGGGATCCGCTCCGTTTGGTGGGGCTTTGCAGTGAGCAGGGGCAGAACCGTTTGTTTCCTGAGAATCACAGAGAGGGGCAGCTCCGCTCTTGGGGGTCCGGGGGCCCTTGGCAGAGTCACTGCTGGCTGAGCGATCCGGGCTGGAGCTGCTGGAACGCCCCCTCTCGCGGTCGGAGCTCCCGCCGCTCCCCTTCGGCCCGTGCCCGTTGGCGGCAGCTCTGGCCAGGAGCTTAGGTGAGGTAGAGTGGGCGGCGTCCCTGCCGTCCCAGGAGCCCTGCCTTTGGCCCCCGCACTTGCTGCTACTCGACGTGCTGGTACCAGGTGGCCCCTGAGAAGTTTTGGGAGGTGGGGAAAAGTGCTGTGCGGGTGCCGACTTCTTCACCTTCTTTCCGGGATCATCCAGCACGGTCGGCGCGTGCGTCGGGGTTTGGGACGGCTTGGGGGAAGGGGACCCCGCAGGTGGCTTTGGAAGAACATATCCGTTCTGCGACTTCGGGCCTGGAACGGAGCCATTCCTAGACACGGGCACACCGATCTCCTCGGTGGTGTGGAGCTTTTTCGGCGTCACCGAGTCTTGTCGCTGAAGGACAGCAAAGCAGAAAACACAGTCGGAAACCCGAGGGAGGCCGGCTCCCTCTCGGCAGCTCCACCGCAAGCTCGGAGCCTGTTCTCACGGCAGCGCGGCCTCTCGCGGCGAGCTCTGCGCGGAAGAGACGCCGGCACTTCTGCCAGCGGTCTCAGTCTCTAGTGGCCCGAGTGCACCTCTCTGTCTACCTGTGTGCCCACCTTCGCCATGAAAGCAGTGTGTTTTCACCAGGGTTTGAGAAATACGAAAGAGGGTAAAGGAAAAAAGTGCATGAAACCTCCAACACCTAAACATGACCATTTATCAATATACCAGTGTTTTCTCCTTTTGGTCTTTTCTTCTTAATGGTTTGGCCTGCACAGCTGCACCCCAGTTTTATCTTAACGCTATAATCCAAAGCATTTTTATAGGTTATATATTTATTTTATTTTTTTACATATTTTTTATTTTATAAAGTGTCTCCACAGAATATAAGTTATATTCTCAACAAATGTCCTTAATGTTTGACTAGCAACCATTCCACTGTATGGTTAGTTTATATAACTGATACTGTCTCCAACTGCCAATGAAATTAACAGTAAATATACACACGTACCCTTTCTTTGTAACACTTAACTACAATGTATGAAAACAGTTACTCTGGATTTAAAAGCTTAACATTGGCCCTTCTCTGTCAAACCCCCATCAGGCTGCACCTTCTTTCTCATTGGCTATGACAGCCCTTTCCACTAGCTCAAGGGTCTGGTATCCAGCGAGTGCTTAAAAAATACTGGTTGAATAAACAATCAAAAGATTGAAGATTTTTCTGTACTTAGCACCACATGCTAATACTCTGGAAATGGAGTTGCCAGCTTGGGACTACTTTCACAAAATATGACACACACTGCCAGAGTGCATTTATTGTCCCCTGATCTGAATGTGTGTTTCTTTTTCAAAACATTTGCTATTAGATAATCTGACGCTATTTTTTTGCTCTTATCACTTTAACATGCATATCCTTTGCACATGCATTGGAATGATTTTCAATCCTTGGAATGAGTTCTTTATGTTATAAACGTTACCTACTGTTGCAAATATTTTGAGCTTTATGGTTTTTTATTTCTAATATTTTAGGTACAAAAATTTAAATTTTAGTTTAGCCAGTCTATAATGTTTCTATATTTCATCCCTCAATTTTTTTTAATTTTCTAAATATTAAGGGAATATAAATGTTTCAGTTAAATGGACAGTTTTATAATGCTTAAGGCAGGGCTATTACGTGCCCATAACCGAACAGTATTCACCGGACCTAACAGGTCATTTCTCAACTTTAAGCTTACAAAGTCTTCCCTCTTGCATAGGCTTAATGAGAATTCACTTCTATTTTCTTCTGAGTTCTCTTCCCCCCCCCATTTTATAATAGTTTATTAACATTGTTTTCTAAAAGGAATCCATCTTTCTCCTGCACTGCCAAACCCCTCCACTTGTCGAACATTTACATATGCAATGGAACTTGCACACTGTCACTGAGAATAAAATGGCTTTTATCCTGTTGCACTGTATGTGGAAAACTGTTTTTGTAATGCAACTGCTGATGATCCGAGAGGCAGCCCTGCAGGTGTGCCTGACACGGGGACGCTCTCCGAGAGCCCAGCACCCCTGGGCAGGAAGCTCCGCCCCTCAGAGCTCCTGCAGCCTGTGAGGCTTCCTAGATTCCTGGTCTGCCCACAGTGACCATCAACTTGGCAATCAGATCACGTATTTTTTTCATTGTCACTTCAATTCCAATGCTTTTAATTTCAGCTTCTATTTCCTTCGACGTTGGAAGGGAAATAGATTTACGTAAATGACTAAAACCCCTGTAGACTCAAGAGGCTCTGACTGCCTATGTCTGGGTCCTTCAGTGTGAAGAGGATCGCACAGAAAGTCACTGTGAGGGTCCACACCAAGCTTTAAATGATCAACCGTGTTATAATGAGGAAACTGCTCGGCACTCTGCTAATAAAACTGAGTTCTTAGCTGTCTTAGCACACAAAGATAACTTTGAGCGTATTTCCTAATTGTTAACATTTTCCTACAAAAGCTTCATCGCTGTCTCTCTACATACATGGTATGTATGTATACATACATGGTATACATATGTATAATGCCTGTATATATACATGCATGAACACGAGTGCGTGTACCAACACATACATTTCTGAACCATCTGAGCAAAGCGCAGACATGATGCCCTCTTCCCCTCCCTGCGTTGCTAAGAGCAAAGATATTCTCTCTCATAACCAAGCCTAAGTACCAAATTCGGGACGTTAACACTGGTAGAAACTACTCATATTTTCTGTGTTACAATGTGAGGACATTTTCCCCAAATGCTTAGGCAAAACCAAATGCTTAGGGTTAAGAGTTGGTTGGCAAATCTGTCATGCCACTTGTGAATGGCAGCCGGGCCAAAGAGCAGGACCTATCTGCCAATTATAATTTTAATTTCCTGGGTCAGGTTTTCTCACCACTGCCCCCTCTTTCTCTGAACCCAATGCCAGCTGATGACCAATTTAAGAAATCACATTGACTAAAACGGCACAAACTGCCTGCAAATTTCTCGCGCTGCAGCCAGGCTCCCCAGCACACAGGGGTCTGCGGAGGAGCTCGAAGGCCCTGCGCCAGCCTCTATCACTGTGAACAAGTACCTTTCCCGTGAGCAGGGAGGAAACAGTCCCGTTGCCAACATTCTTCTTGGTGTGATCTGGAGCCAGGCTCGGGCGTCGGGGAAGGGAGGGGGCCATTTTGGAGATGGGGCCCTCTGGACTCTTCTTGGACCCTGGGATTCTGTCAAAGGGAGAAAACAAGTCGGGGAAACCCTCTTACTAAAAGCTAGACAGGCATCACAGAAACGGAAAGTGAGAAAGAACCAGAGTAAGTGAAAGCCAAGGTCACAGTGGGATTTTTTTAAAAGGCAGGGCAAAGGCTGGAACAGCCCGGGGGAAACCCGACCACCCAGCCCACTTCCCCAGAATGCCCCCTTGCCCTGCAATGGCTATGAAGTAGTTAACAGCGAGCCTCGGGTATCTGCTCCAAATAAGCAGAGCACAGAGCAAATTACAGTCCGAGCTCTTCCAACGTGACACTCTCGACATGCCAGAAAGCAAGAGAGACCTCTCAGACGCCTCCTCCAAACTCAGCCAAGCCATGGGAAACAGTCAAGATGCCTGGGCTGCCGCGTCCTCCAACCTCCAGGTTGGTGACAGCCAGCCCGAAGGGAAGGCCCCTCCGGAAGGCCTTGTGGGGCAGCTCCTCACCAACTTCCTTCCCTGCCTGCAGGGACTGCTTCCCTGCAGAGGACCCTGCAGAGGACAGGCAAGCTGGCTGGCCACACAGCTACTCCAGGGAGACTTTCCCATTTACATGCAAAGTAGCATCAACGTGGGGGCAGGCAGAATCCTGTCTTGACCTTTCCCCAGGTAGACTTGGTCTAGAAAGCATCCTTCCCGGAAGACCCTCTCCACTATGCGTGACTGGGGAGGTGGCATCTGCCCGCTGTCTTCCCTGCCGTGGCATTCCCGATCACCTCCAGGCAGAACGAGGCTAGGGAGGCCCATCAGTATCAGAAATGAACAAGAAAGGGGGCGAGTCCATCTGGGGAGGGCGTGAGTTCCTTACCGCAGGTAGAACAGCACATAGGCCTGCTGGTTCAGAACCACCTTGACGTTGCTGGAATGGACCAAGGAATCGTTCATCTGGTACCACTGTCCGTTGCTCGCCTGAAGCAGCACAGGGTGTTGCAGAACACAAGACAATCAACAAACATCCCATAATCCTCACTCTTTAAATAAAAAGGGAATAAAAAATCTGCTGTTAGCTGCTACTATGCCCATGTGCTAATTAACCCATAGCGATTTCCTATTAAAATGTGTTAACGCTTACATAACTCTGAACGTGACCTCAAAGCGTGCTTTGAGCCCCAGCTCCCTCCTAAAGCCCCATCAGATGTGAACTGTCCTTTAAAGGAAATTTAGGGCAGTCTCAGCACCGAGGCATCTCCCACCAACGCTCAGCTTTCGCCAAGCTGTTCTCGGGGTTCTGATGGGGCCCCGGAGGCGGATGCTCTCCAGTGTCTCATAACAAGTCCAAGAACACTGCAGACTCCGGCGGAACCCGGACACAACTACGGAACGTCGGAACGTCACGCTGTCCGCAGAGGAAGCGCCCTGCAGAGGCGGGCTCGCGGGGCGCAGCCTCTCACCTTCACGTAGCAGTAGTAGTGCCCGGCGTGGCAGCTGTAGCCTGAGTGGACCAGGACGGCGTAGAGCCCGTACATGACAGGCTCGCCAGCATTCTGGGACATGTACGGACGGATGTTCAGGAATTCCGGATAGCCCACATCCTGTTTGAAAAGTCAAGGAAAAGGCAAATAAAATGCATCTCCGCGAGTAAGAGCCGACTCCCCCCTCCACCCACGGCCACACAGAACGCCCAGTCTAGCTGGCGGTGGCAATCTGCGGAGACCGCGCACGGGGCGCGGCTGTGGCAGGAGCGCCCTGGACAACGATCACGGCACACGATGCTGAGAAGCGAGTCTTTTCCAACAGACCTGGGGGAAACCTACTTTACTGTCCCATCAAACAACTCACGATCCACTCGTCTCTGTCATGCATCTAAATCAGTTCACTACCTGGTTCCCAACGTAAAATGAGAAGAATTCACCCGTTTTCCTTCCCTCCACGCCATGGGGGCCTTGCTGGTGGGAGGACAGGGACAGAATGCTGGGGTTTGGGTCTTCAGACACAGAGGAGCTGCATCAATACAGCCGGTTTCTACAGTAAGCTGAGTTTTTATGAACTGGGTCAGAATAAAGGTCAAGGTCCTGCCAAAATTTATTTATTCCCCAAACTTACAATTTTTGGCAGGAAAATATATCTTTAAAAATTATCTTTGGGCCGGGTGCGGTGGCTCACGCCTGTAATCCTAGCACTCTGGGAGGCCGAGGCGGGCGGATTGCTCAAGGTCAGGAGTTCAAAACCAGCCTGAGCGAGACCCCGTCTCTACCATAAAAATAGAAAGAAATTAATTGGCCAACTAATATATATATATATAAATCAGCCGGGCATGGTGGCTTGTGCCTGTAGTCCCAGCTACTCGGGAGGCTGAAGCAGGAGGATCGCTTGAGCCCAGGAGTTTGAGGTTGCTGTGAGCTAGGCTGACGCCACGGCACTCACTCTAGCCTAGGCAAGAAAGCGAGACTCTGTCTCAAAAAAAAAAAAAAAATTATCTTTGAATGACAGGAGATACATCTGCATTTATGTCCATACACATAGATCCTTTTTAAAAAAACAAGTGTAACTTGTAGAATTTGCAGAAGTGCAGAGATCTAAGGTATCCCGTGAGGTTTTTGTGAGTTTTGCTAAGTGCACACTGAAGGAACCCACTCTCCAGTCAACCCAAAGAAAACTCCTTTGTGGCCCAGTCATTGCCTGCATCCACTGCTGTTTCTGTCACCACTGATTAGTTGTGCCTACTCCTGAACTTCACATACAGTCATGCACCATTTAATGGTATCTTAGTCAATAACAGACTGTATGAACACTGGCCCCATAAAATTGTAACACTGCATTGTTCGTGTTCCTTTTCTAGGTTTAGATGCACCAATACGTATCACCGTGTTACAGTTGCCTACAGTATTCATGACAGTAACCTGTACAGGTTTTCCAGCCTGGGAGTGACAGGCCACACCACACAGCCCACCTGTGCCACAGGCCCTACTGTCCAGGTTTGTGTGAGTGCACTCCATAATGTCCCCACAAAATCGCCTCACGACACACTTCTCAGAACAAATCCCCGTAGTGAATGACATTGTGACTATACAACACAAACACCTTAGAGGGAAACACTGCTCTAAGCAAATCCCTCCCACTGCTAGTAAGGAAACTGAGGCACAGACAAGTGCCTTGCTCCAAACTACATAACAAGGCTCTAGGAACAGAACCACGTTTTTGTTTTTTCGAGACAGTCTCACTCTGTTGCCTGGGCTAGAGTGCCATGGCGTCAGCCTAGCTCACAGCAACCTCAAACTCCTGGGTTCAAGCAATCCTTCTGCCTCAGCCTGCTGAGTAGCTGGGACTACAGGCATGTGCCACCATGTCTGGCTAATTTTTTTAAAAATATTTTTAGTTGGCCAATTAATTTCTATTTTTAGTAGAGATTGGGTCTTACTCTTGTTCAGGCTGGTTTTAAACTCCTGACCTCGAGCGATCCTCCCATCTCGGCCTCCCAGAGTGCTAGGATTATAGGCGTGAGCCACTGCGCCCGGCCCAGAATCACGTTTTTATGGAACAGACATCCTGTATTGAAATGGCATCTTGCAAACAGCCGCTATTCTACTCCACAGTCCACAAAGCCACAGCAAGCACGTGCGCCTGCTCTGGACCTAAAGCCGATAGAGCTACGCGGTCTGGTGCTTGCCACGCTCGCCTGGAAACCCTGACCTTCCACGTCGGGACCCCCAGGTACAGGTGCGCTGGGGGAAAAGCCAGCGAGACAGTGGCTCTCAAACCTGAGTAACAATCATCTAGGGATTCTGAAAAATGCAGACTGCTGGGCCATGTCCTCAGAGACTCACATGCACCAGCTCTGGGGGAGGGCCAGAAGTGTGTGTCTCTAAAACGCAAACCACACGATTCTGATACAAACCGCGGCCCCTGGAGCGGCCTGGGAGACTGCCCTGAGTGCTCACCTTGGTGATCTTCCCCCCGCTGAAGTTGGCAAAGCGCTTGAGGGAGAGGGTCAGGACGTTGGACGCCCTGTGAACGGTGAAGCGCTTGCTGGCTGGCACCTTCTTCTTGCACCTGTGAGGAAGGCGAATGACAGGGAACTGTGTATACTCTGACAGCACGCTCTACGTGCCGTCTCCACGCTGCGTCAGTAACCGCAACGACTGCTCTGCGACAGCGGAGTCTTCTTACTCGGGATTTGTGTCCTTCGTACCCTGAAAACTCACAATCGACACGCCTTGAACAATGGAAAGCTATCGCAGGGAGACAAAGGCCAGAGAGAAGGTGGAGATTGCAAAGCAAAAAGAAAGTACTTTACCAACCAGAAGACTAAACAAGACACAGAAAGAGATGCTCTGAGTTAAAAACAGGAAAGAGCAAATTAAAGCAGGCATGGCCCGTCGAAAAAACCGACATAGGCACAGCATGGAGGGGAGGAAGCAGGCAGAAATGCACAGCATTTAGGGGAACACGTTTAAGGGGATAAACACACGGCACAAAATGAGAAATTTGACAGGCAGAATTAAGAAAATATTCTGTAGTGATTATAGCTCTAAAATGACTTAGATATAGCTGGGCGTGGTGGCTCACGCCTATAATCCCAGCACTCTGGGAGGCCGAGGCGGGTGGATTGTTTGAGCTCATGAGTTCCAGACCAGCCTGAGCAAGAGCAAGACCACGTCTCTAATAAAAAAATAGAAAAAAATTAGCTGGGCAACTAAAAATAGAAAACAAACAATAAAATTAGCCGGGCATGGGGGCGCATGCCTGTAGTCCCAGCTACTCAGGAGGCTGAGGCAGGAGGATCGCTTGAGCCTGGGAGTTGGAGGTTGCTGTGAGCTAGGCTGACGCCACGGCACTCACTCTAGCCTGGGCAACAGAGTGAGACTCTGTCTTGAAAAAGTATAAATATAAAAAAAAACAAAATAAAATGATCTAGATATAGAGACACCCATCCAGTAGAACTGTGCAACCATCAAAAGCACCAGGTGAGAGTCCCCTGCGGAAATGGCAAAACGGCCGAGACCGCTGACGTAAAACCTGGGAGACGCCCCCCACGAGGCAGGACGGCGGGAGGCTGAGCCCGGCCCCTGGCGCAGCCCGCCCAGTGAGAAGCTGGGAGAGCCACTGCCCCTCCACGTCTCGTCGGTGTGACCTCCGCCAGTCACTTCGCCTCTGCGCGCCTCAGTTTCCCCACCCTGGGTAACGGGAAACAAGAGTTCCTAACATGTGCGGAACCTTTAGAAGACGCCGGCACTCTGCAAACGGCAGCTGTGAAAAGCACGGCCATCACTCCGTCTGTGTGGCCGAGAGGTGTGTGTCTCTAACACACAGGCTCCTCAGGGAACGCGAGCAGCCGCACCTCCCAGGAGGGGACGGCGCAGGAGTGCTGGCGGAGGTCTTCCGGAGGGCCCAAGCTTCTGCCGCGGCGGCGGGCACGTACCTGGCGCACATGTAGGCGTTCTCCCCGCTCAGGGCGTCCGGCTTCACAAACAGTTCCAGAGCGCGCACGATGTTTGCGGCTTGCTGAGGAGCAGAAACGGGGAGTGAGACGGACGGAAGGAAGAGGCTGACTCAAGAAATGCCAAACTTAAGGCCTTTTTCAGGCGGAGGCAGCAAATCACAAAACTTTACTTGCATAAGCTGCCCACCAGCCGCCACCTTCTGAGACACGGAACGCCCACCGCAGAGGAGGAGGAGGCCAGACCAGGACCCCTTCTCCGGTGATGAGAAACGCAGCACCGCGGGAGGCGTGCCATGCCTCAGGCACTCCTGGGGCTGGCGCTGGCCCAGGAAAGGCTGACAGGCCTCCGCGGGCCCCGGCTGGACCACGGAGCCAGCGCTGGCCCGACAATGGCTCTCCTGGGCAAGAGACACAGCCGCCGAGCTCCAGACCTGCACACGCTTGTGCGACAGCCACCCACAGCCCAGGACAGACTCCCCAAGCCTTGAGTGACAGTGCTGTCCCTACTTTTGCCTTAGGACAGAAAACTCAACTTTACCTTTTTTTTTTTAATGAAAGGAACAGGAAAAAGGCTGCAGAGAACTAGGCAACAGTGATGGCCTCTCTGTAAGGCAGGAGTCTAGTATTTCTCCCCATCTATCATGACACTGTGCCTTTCCTGTCCTGCCCGTCCCGTGTCACCCCCGGCCCCGCTCTCCTACTGTGCACGCGAACGGCGGAAGCGGTGGGTCTGTACCCGGATCTCCAGCGCGATGTCCAGGTAGGGGTCGTAGGTGTCTGAGACGCTCTTGCACACAGAGCACTTCACTGCAACACAACAGGGAGGCGGCGGGCTGGGCGCGGGCCCAGCAGTGGGCACCCCCGGCTGCCAACACCTAGACCTGGGAGGCCAGCTCCCCACTGGGCCTTGGCCAAAGGCGGTGGCTCCACCTGCCCCCGGAGAGTCCCGGCGTCTGGACGACGCTCCTTCGCCACCGGAGTTCCCAAGATGGGTGCCGGCGCCTTCCCACCCACAGGGCCCACCCTGCGCTGCTGGCCTCGGCGCGGCGAGGAGGCACTGAGGAAGAGGAGAGGGGGAATGACGCCATCACCCCTTCCCACGCGCACAGTGCTCTTCTCCAAACCCACGGGCTGGTAGAACTGCGCGAAGCGGCTGGCAGGTGAGGGGTCTCACAGAGAGGAAAGCAAGGCTCCAGCCCCCGGTGACCTGCCCAAGTCTACACGGCTAGGAAAGAGCCTCAGGCTGTGCTCAAGCTCCTAGGATGTTCTGGGTTAATATCCCAATCCTGGTAAGAAGGGACAGAGAAAATGTCACCACTTACCACGTGATCTGAGATACCCTCCAAAAATCTGATGGACCAGGGTAGTGGCCTGTGTTTGACGATCCAACCTGAAAAGGAGGCGACAGCCTTCAGGGGAACCAGAGGAGACCACATAGTGGCCTGTCCCAGCTCAGCGGGACCCCCGGTCCCCAGACCCCATCACCCTCCACCCTCAGTGGCTCCGTGTTGTCTGGTGAGCTCTGCACAGAGCTCCGACCCCCCAGGCCCCCACGGCAGCTTCCTCATACCTTCACAGAGTGCCCCTCACCCACCTAAGCTGGCAGCCTCGCACCCGCTTCACGGAGAATAAAAGGCCCAGGAAATGTACCTGTACCCTCACCCAGTCTCACCTTTACTTTTCAGTCTCAATGAAAGTGCCACCCCGAATCTGGGGTGAGCTGGAGGCCAAACCCCTCCTGAGCCAGGGCCTATCCCGCCACCCGCCAGCTGCCACGGGTCCCGCTCCACTTCTGGGCTGGCCTCACACGACCAGCCTGACCCGGTGAAAAGGGGACGTCGAGGGAACAAGGGCGCACGACATACCCCCACCCCATCCCCAGAGGACCACGGGGTCCTGGGGTGGGCCTCAGCGCAGGCGGCCCAGCATTCAAACCCTGAGCACCGTTGACTAGCTGGGGTCCAGCTGAGCCTGGGCCTCCGGGCCTGACACCCGTGCCCTGCAGAGCTGCTGAGTGCTCGGTGCCACCCACGCTGAGTATTTGCTGCGTGGCTATTCACGCCACGAAGACGGAAGAGTCTGGAAATGATACGAGACGTCGAGTCTCTGCTCCCTGTTCTCACTAGCAACCCACTATGTCTGGTTCCCACTCGCTCCTCTGAAACCGTCTTCTGCTCGGAGCCACCGAAGACCTCCAGGCCCGAATCCAGCCGGCTCTGGAGTGGTTTTACCAGAAGGCTATGCAACGAGGCAGTGCGGCCCGCCCCGAGACAAGCCACCTCTGCCTCCTCCTTGGAGGCTCTCCTGGCCCCCATCTCCCCAGCTGCCTCCTCCGACCTCCCCCGGCACGCTGTCCCCGGCCAGGTATTCGGTGGTGCTGCCCCCAGGGCCCTTCCCATGGCCACAGCCCCTCACCCCTGCGGAACGCAGCGACCGCACACCCGCGGCCTCCCGTCCTGTCTGTACCCCACTGATCACAGCGCTTCCCAGGCTGTGGGCGCTCAGTGTCCGGAGGACCAACAAAGGGCCACCAAATTTTTATTTTGCAAAGGTAGAAGATGAGAAAAAAACTGCCACCATCTACTATTCATTCCTCAAAACAAGGGAGGTCTTAACTCCAAAACTGGCAAGGACGCGACCTCAGAGCAGCCTGGGAGCATGCGGGTGGCTGTGAGTGACGGCAGCTGCCGAAGGCTGCCCCGAGCCGACCCGAGGCCAGGGAGAGCCGGAGCCAGCAGAGCCGTCCGGAACACGCTCCCAGCCCAGCCCGAAGCAGGGGAAGTGCCGTGGAGTCAAGGGGAAATAAAGTCGGGTTCCAGCAAGTTTTCCGCACACGCCCACACCAGCCTTGGGGACAAGGGCAGTAGGGACAACTGAGCCGGGAGGGGGAGGGGCGCAGAGGTGGCCGAGAGGGCGACTAGAGGGGACTGGCAGCACGTGGCCAGGGCAGCAGTCTGCAAAGGCACGAGCTCGGGGGAGAAGGCGGCCAGGCGGCCTCAGGAGACTGGACGCAGACAAGCAAGAGACGCGGTTTGTCCCTGGAAAAAAACCCGACCCGACCCCTGTGCCCCAGAGAAAGAGCTGCCATGAAGGAGCGTGCGCGCCATTCTGCTGACAGAGGCGGCACCCTCGGGGTAAGGATCCGGAGAAGCACCAGGTGCGCGGCAGGAACGAAGAGCAGTCTGAATCTAGCAAACAGCAGCAAAACGCTTTGCTGGATGAAAGCCGCCCCCCAGAAGACACACACAAAGCAGAGGGGGGCGGCAACACGGAAGCCCAGACGCACCACGTAGCCCCAGACACGGGGAGACGGCTGCGGACTTCCCCGGCCGGGACTCTTGTACGTAAGTGCCCTCCTAGAAGAACCTTCTAGAGCTGTGGTCCCCAAATCCCAGGCCAGGGCCTGGTATCCGCCCCCCCACCCCAGGGGGTACCATGCACGGCAGGAGGTGAGTGGAGGAGGTGAGGGGCAAGCAAGCGAGCGAAGCTCCATCCGTGTTTAAGCCGCTCCCCGTCGCCAGCATCACCGCCTGAGCTCTGCCTCGGGCCCCACCCCCATCCGTGGAAAAATTATCTTCCACGAAACCGGTCCCTGGTGCCAAAAGGTCTGCGGACTGCTGCTCTAGAGGACAGAACTCACCCAGCCAATGGGGGCCGGGAGGTGCCAGCAGGAAGGCGGATGGCAAGCACTAGGAAGATCTGCCTGTAGCCCAAGACCCAAACAAAAACAGGGGACTGGGCAAGAAAGGGACGTCACTGAGCATGTGCCAACAGAAAGAGCATGATGCCAACTAAAACGGCGAGAGAGAGGAGAGAGGAGATGGGAAACCCACAGACCAGACCACCAGGGTCCAGAAAACACGACCAAGGGCACCTCAAAAAGGTCTGTGGACAACGTAGTCCCTAGAAGAAAATACAGATCTTCCTAAACATCAAAAGAAATTTTAAAAATTAACAAGAAAACTCAGAAGAAGAAGCACAGCAAATACACTACACAGTTATCACAAAACCCAGTAATACAACAGAGCCGAGAGCAAACGTTTTAGCAGTCTTAATAATGAACGTGAAGGCTCTTAATTTGCCTTTGCTTTCTCCGAGACAGAGTCTCGCTGTGTCGCCCGGGCTAGAGGGCCACGGCGCAATCGCAGCTTGCAGGGCTCACGCAACCCTCCTGCCTCGGCCTCCACGCGCGGCTTTTCCTCGCCTGTGGCGTGACGTTCAACCCGCTTACGAACAAGACCAAAGCTCAGGAGAGCCCGAAACGAAGCGCTCACAAAGGGACGGGCAGAGGCGAAGGGGTAGGGGGCCCCTTCACGACGCAGGGCCGCAGTTCTGACGCCGGGCGCAGTACCACAGAATTCAAGCCAAAGGCACTGACGTGGCACGCGCTCTGTCATGCTGAGAGCGACAATTCTCAGTGAAGACACAGTGGTTATAAACAGCTCACTGAAGCCATCCGTGTAAAGCAAAACCACACGAGGTGCAAGGAGACAGAAAACGCCCGTCACAGCAGGGCTAACACGCCGCTCGGCACTAGACAAAGGAGGCGCGTGCACACGGAGGCACACGGGACAAACACATCACCAACAGGACAGGCCTGCGCAGACACGGCAGACCCACACCCTGACGACCCGAGGATTTGCGTCTCTAGTGCTCAGAACGTTTGCCAGCACCGACTGCGTGTCAGGCCACAGAGAAACGACACAAGTTCCGTGAAATAGAAACATTATAAACACGCTCTGATCGCCATGCAAATAATGCCAAAAACCACGAACAGAACAAAACCCAAGAAGGTCCTTCTGCCTGCACACTAAATGGAGCAGCCGTCTGGCTTCACGAAAGGCTCGTGACAGTCTTCTTTTTTCTGACCCCGTGACCTTTCACTGGAGACCAGTGGAAGCTCCCTCGCGGACGGCTGTTTGGGGCGCGGCCACCGCTCCCCTGGGCCAGCGTCCAGCGAGGCCCGGCCATCTGACACTCGGCCTCCTCCCCTCCCCCCACCCTTGCACTGGTGTCCGGCTCGGCACTGCCCTCCCTGCCGCCCAGGCCACACACCGCCTCCTGCCCCACAGCCCCGAGTCCAAACCCTGCGCGCCGCCCCCCTCGAGTTTCTCCCGCCTGCTGGCTCTGCTTCACCGGCCTGGTCTGGGGCTCAGGTGTCACTTCTTGTTTTAAAAGTTCTCCAGGTGGCAGCACCCCACGCCCAGAGCTGGAACCCCGCTGCACCCACCTGGAGGTGCTGGCATCGCCACAGCCCGCCCGCCTACCTCACTCCTCACCTAGCCTCCCAGCTCAGCCTCAGGGCCGCGTCTCCCAGGAAGGCCCCTCTGGGGCAGGTGATCCTCTGGGCTGTGGCTGCCAGTCTCCCTCCAGGACAACGTTCCCCACACAGCGCTGTCAACGCCGGTGGGTTTCCCTGTCCTCGCCAGCTACACTGCCAGCTCCTCAGACTCAAGGGCCATGGCTTTAACCTCCGAACTCCCAGCACCAGCAGCACGAGCATTCAGCAAACAGCTGCTCTGCTAGGTGGGGGCGGGGGTGGGGGTGCGATGAGAACAGAACCTTGCGTGGCAGGAAAGGAGGCTCAAGCCCCTCTGGGGCAAGGGGAAGAACAGGTGACCCAACCCTCAAAAGAGGCAGAAACATTCTAGGAATCTGGTAAAAGCTATGTTTGTATCAAGTTACTTAAGTTTTATTCTGTAAGGCTCATTTCCCTAAGAATCTCATCCACCAAAGCCAGTTGCGTTCCCATGTCACTCACTCACTGCTACAACTGGACTACCTTCTTCTCTAAAGAACATTCCAGGCATGTTTCCTTAGTTGTCTAAGGTATTTCCAGTATTCTAGGCCCAGGCAATACCCAGGAAATCGTGAGCATTTCCCGTCTATTTTCTTTCATCTGAACCCACGAACCCAGGAATGACACACACGATTCTCCATAGTGACCATCCCACCGACTGTGGCACAGAGCATCGACTGCCACACGCATACATTCTGTGCTTCGTTTGAAATTAGGAAATTGTGACCAGGCAGAGTGAAGTCCTAAAAATGGTAAGTTCCTAACCTCCAATTTTCCTGTATGCTTTTAACTTACAGAGACGTCATAACTTCTACCACTGCCATTCTCTGTATCAAAATAGTGAAGCTATGATGTTGAAAAGACCGGAAGAGTCCATGGCAATAGCTGACTTTCTAAAATAGATCTGCTAAAGCACCTCCCCTCAGCAGAGCTGCTGAGGCAGAGCTCTCGGCACTCTGCCGCACCCAGACGGCCCCCAGCCAGAACGTGCCAGGAGACAGCCCTTCCCCGGAAGCCAGGGAGACCCCGTGTCTGCGCCGCAGCAGGTCAGACGCCGACCGAGACGCGGAATCTGCCGCATCCACCAGAGGCGGCTGGGCGGCGAGGAGCAGGGCCTGCTGCCTGCACAACAACGTCCTGCTGCCGCCACCAGAAGGGCGTGGGATCGCCCGCGGGAAAGGGGGCCGGGCGCGGCGCTACCTGGCACAGCCGTTCAGGCAGGCCTTCTGCATCGCGTCGATGGTGTACCGCAGGAACTCGTGCGCGTCCTCCTGGTTCCCGAAGCGGAAGTGCCGGGCAATCTCTGAAGAGGGAGGAGAGGGAGGGAAGACCTGGTGCCTCTTCTTCCAACAGCCTGCCGCTGCCCCCGCCCCCCAGCCAATGCCTGGCTGGTGCAGGGCGAGACAGTCTGCGCACCTTTCCAAAGTGGCGAGCGAGGAAAACAAGAGCTCCACATACATTCTCACATCCCAGCTATGATTCATCACGGCCGCTATTTTCTCAGTGAGATCTGAGACCTAAACCCTCACTGCTTCACAGAAGAGTCCAAGTGCCACCAAGTGTCTCCAAACTACTATTCCTTCGGTCTGCACCGCCACATGCAGACACTTAGCACCTGGGATTCCTAGGACTTCGCTAACAACTCTTCTTTAAGAACGCAAAATACAGCCAGGTGCAGTGGCTCACGCCTGTAGTCCTAGCAGCTGGGGAGGCTGAGGCAGGAGGATCACTTGAGGTCAGGAGTTCCAGTCCAGCCTGAGCAAGAGTGAGACTCTGTCTCTACTAAAAACAGAAAAATGAGCCAAGCGCAGTGGCGCACGCCTGTCTTCCCAGCCACTTGCAAGTCTGAGGAAGGCTCATCACTTGCGCTGCAGTGAGCTGTGATGACACCATTGCACTCTAGCCCAGGTGACAGGGCGAGACCTTGTCTCCAAGTAACTAGTTCTCTAAGAGCCCATTCAGAACCCAGATGGATTATAATGAAGTCACAGCGCTGTAATTTACACAGGTTTCAAAAGCCAAGAATGGACCTGTTTTCTGCCAAGTGAATATGAAATGAGACTTTTACAGCACAGGACGACCGGTTCCTTCCCAACGCTCAGAAAGAAGTTGGTGCAGTCCACATCCACCCTCCTCCTAGCTCTCTGCCTGCCCAGAACGTGCAACAGCACCCTCCACCTGGCCAAAACCTACCTGTCACGACCCACCCCACTAAAGCCTCCCCCACTGACGCCAGCCCACGTGTCTCCGAACTACTATTCCTTCGGTCTGCACCGCCACATGCAGACACTTAGCACCTGGGATCCCTAGGACTTCGCTCACAACTCTTCTTTCCCTTCCACCAACTCACCAGCACCTACTACCGAGCAAGCACTCAGCAGGCACTCAACGGGTCTATTCTTACTTTTCAGGTCCCGGATGAAGGAGACGGGCTTGATAGCGTTGCCGCTGTTGGCAAAGGCCTGGACGATGTGGTTCTGCATGACACACAGCATGCAGAAGCTCCCCTGGTGACCTGCAACAGGGAAGGAGGAGCCACCGTAAGACAAGAGCTTAAGAAAGAATCCATGATGACGCCCACACCCCAACATAGCAAAGAAAGCAGCACAGGCAGGTAAGAGCACACCGGTCTGTGAAAGGGTGGCTAGCCACGGAGACCCCAGACTCCTGACACCACGTGGTGATCACCAAGGAAACGCTTGGGGGCCTTGACTCTTCCAGAGCTGTAACCCTAACAATCTCACACCGTCACCCTCAGTGAAGGTTGATGACCCGTGCAGGATCCTCTCTGTATCTCAACAGTATTACTTTCTTATAAAAAGACTATGTCTGATTTTCAGAATAGAAGTTTAGAAAAATGTCTTCTCTAATTTCTAAGTCACATCATATGGTCAATAGGGTAAAATATCTTAGGGCTCCCTGATAGCCCCTTAGCTCCTCAAATGTGGGAACCTTTGCTCTGCTGCTTCTAGTAAACACCCCACTGCTATTTATCAGAGGTCAAACACTTTTCCCATGAAGATCCAGAGACTAATTATTTTCTGCTATGTGGACTACACATACAGGCTCTATTTCGATTATGTGATCTTGCCACTGGGGAGCAAAAGCAGGCAGACAGTATGTAAACAAATGGGCATGGAAGTATTCAATAAAACTTTATTTACAAACACAGGCAGCGGTCAGATTAGTCTACCAACCTTGCTATATATCAAACGACTTGTTCCTCATTAGGCTTGACAGTGTACATTTTTACCTTTAAAACTATGACATTTTAAATACAAAGAGATGTACAAAGAGTATACCACCACCCAGTTTTACTTCATTTTAGGTGTTAAGTAGAACATTGGTATAATAGTTGAACGCCCCTCAATTCCATTTCCCACATTCCTTCATCCAAAGTAACCACTATCCTGAATCAGGTGATTACTACTCCCATGTTTGGATACTAATACACAGGTGTCTATCCATAAACAAGGAATGGCATCGTAGCTGCATGTCTACAAACTTACTTTATATATATTGTACCACACGGTTACATACCATTCAGTAGCTTGCTTTTTAAAAATCCATGTTGCTAGACTTAGCTCTAGTTTCTTCAATCTCACAGCTGGAATATTTCAGAGTGAATATAGGCTGATTTGTTTATGTATCTACTAACACGCATTTAGCCTTTCCAGTTTTTCTGCTGTCACAAACATGCTGCAATGAACAACCATATACCTGTCTCCTTGTGCCTGTGGGTGGGTTTCTCTAAGATATATACCTAGAAGATAAATTTCTGGATCAAAGGGCAAATACATTTTCAATTCTGCAAGATGCTGTCTAGATCACAGTGCATTACCTTTTCAAGTAGACCCATGTCATGACACAAAATTCAATCCAAATACATTTTTTCCACCTCGATAGCTCTAATTACTTAGAGGTACTGAATAATAAAATCTTAGACCTATCTCAAAATCAATAATGGACTAGAATGCAGCCTGCTTACCACAGATAGATAAGAATGCTAGTATTTACACAAAAATTCTTCTCAGAGATACATGTTATTGCCTTTACATAAAGAGGAGGCTTTTACTTTTCATTTAGACTTTTGTTTGACTTTCTAACCATATTCATTTACTACTTTTATGTAGGTTATTACTTAGTATTCTTCAGTCAAGGTTTTCTGCACATATTTTGCTAAATTTAAGTCTAATTACTTTATTGCTTATGCTGCTTTTATAAATTTCTTCATGATGGCTTTTTTTTTTTTTTTTAGATAGGGTCTTGCTCTGTTGCCTGGGCTAGAGCACAGAGGCATCACCACAGACCTCCAATTCCTGGGCTCAAACGATCCTCTTGCCTCAGCCTCCTGAGCATCCGGGACTGCCGGCATGCACCACCACGCCCGGCTGACCTTTCTCTTTCAATCTGTTAACACAGTAATAGTCATTCACTGAGGGGACAGTGTCAGCAGTCACTTGTGCTCACTGTGTGCCAGGTACTACTTCAAGCACGTAACAGAATTCCAACCTCACAGCCCCTCTGTGAGGAAGACGAGGGGCAGGAAGAGGTCGCGTAACCCGCTGGAGGACTCACGGCCACGAAGGGGCAGAGCCGGGATGCAAACCCACAGGCCAGGCTCCTGCGTCCTGCTCGTAACTGCCACGCTAGCTCCGTAATTACGTTTACAGATGTTCTGCTACTACATCTTTGCATCCCTAGGATAAAGACAAGTAGCTTATAGTTTTTTAACCACTTCGGTACCAGCGTCCACTATAGCCGACGGCCATGATATGAAGGCGCACGGCCGAGCGTCGACTTTAGCCGACAGCCATGATATATGACTTTTCTAATTTTTCATTTATCAAAATAAAATTGTGAACATTTAAAAATAATGTAATGAAAACATATATGTACATGTTACCTATTCTGATTTACATGACAGGTAAAGCTGCCTGTAAAGCAAAACAAGCTTCCGGTGCTTTCAAGCTTTCCTCATCGCACGAGAGCAAAGCGGACCCGCCGTCGATGCGCAGCGCAGACTGCCGTGCGGACCGTGAGCGCCGCTGCGGGCAGCGTTTCGCCACTGGCTAGCGCCGGACCCAAGTGGTTAAAAACTGTGCCATTTGCTAGCATTTTTTTCTAGAATTTTTATATCTATGTCATGAATAAGATAGGACTGTAATTTCTCTTTCTTCTATTGTCCTTGTTTTATTTTTGTTATTCAAGTTGTAAGAACTTCACAGAATGAGCTGGGGAATATTCTCTCCTTTCTATTCTCCACAGGAGTTTGTAAAGGACTGGAATGCTTTGTCTGTCCTAAGTTTCACAGAACACACCTGTACAATCATCTCTGCTTGGTGTTTTTTTCCAAGGAAGATTTTCAATCACTGCTTTAATTTTGTTAACACATTAACTGCCATGTGAGGTGCATTTAACTCACACTAGTTTTGAGTCCGAGGCCTCACGGAGCGAAGCCTGGGCAAATCCCTGCAGTTGGTTCGTGAAAATATTACTTGTGGATGTTCTTATTGTTACAATTAGTATCGACAATTTAATTCTAAAAACATGGATTAAATGAATAGAACTCAGTAACAAATTTTTCATTAAATTAGAAAGGATCGTTTTGTTTTTGAAGTTTTTATTCTATTTTAATAATAAGACAACGTGGCCCCAAGGAAAAAAATTTTTCAGTGTGTATTGACTCTTCAGACTTCCTATTTCTTTCAGTTTTGGGTTGGTTGTATTTTACTTCACCTTTATTTTACTCATTTTTAATTTTTGCTTTGGGAGCATGCTTTATAACGTACATAAAATACACTGGTTCGGTAGATGTATAAAGTAATTGAATACACGTATTTTGGAGGTATCCATTGCAAACCTTCGTTTCTGTGTGGGTGACTGTTTCCAGGGAAGCGTGGCGAGCATGACCCCACCGACTGGCTCGCTCTCATGGCCCACGCTGCAGCAGACACCAACCAGATTTAGGTTCGATCGGCTACCGCATCACGAATTTGACCCAGACTGGAACCCTCAGTGCCACAAGCACATGGTCTGGCTCATCCCGAGGACTCAAAGCCAACCCCGCCGGCAGACTCGTACTCACAGCTGGAAGCGTGCTCCCTGGAGAGCAGGTAGTTGGCCAGCGGCGGCGTGTAGGTCAAGCACTGGATGGTGGAGTTCAGGAAGCAGGTGTTGCCGAGGTTGTGCAGGCCCGCGCCCACGCGGAAGACCCGCTCCCACCGCAGACACAGGCGCTCCATGGGGAAGAGCACTTTCTGTGGGGCCGGGACGCCGTCACCACAGCTCTCGTACGCATGCTCGCTGCCTGAGAGATAAACGGACACGGGGGAAAAAAAAGAAGACATCAGTCTATGCACAGGCAGACCACAGTGATAAATTCCTGATATGTATGCTTAGCGTGCAATTGCTCAGAATACAGCATCAAGGGGGAAAGCTCAGGAGTAAACCCAGTCATGCCATGGACCCTCCAGACCGCGTAGGTCTAGAATCCAAGACCCCTCCGTGGATGGAGGACATGACCCAGAGAGCAGGCAGTTGAAGGAACCAGGCCCCGAGGCTCCAACCGTACTGTGCCCACACGCAGCCCACCCCATTTCTCTTTCTCATTTCCGAGGCCTACTTGTGATCCTATTAAACCTGGGGCAGGGGTGCAACTTCCAAGGAACATCCAAGTACACAGATTTCCTCCCTACTGACTCAGGAAAGTGACTCCCAATGCTGGGAGCCACTTAACATCCACGTGGGTCCTTGGCTTCGTACAAGAAAGAATTCAGGAGTGAGCCACCAAGATAAAGTGAAAGTGAGATGTATTCAAAAACTACAGAAAGTTAGAAAGTCTACTCCACAGACAGAGTAGAGGAAAGTTCTCCCTGCAGAGGAGAACCGGCCCCCTGCTTCCTGTTGTCCTTCTATTTAAGCACCTAGCTAAACAAGGTGAAGAATATTCATGAAGGAGCCGTGTTCTGACACTGTCTTGGTTCTAACCGGTCAGAACTTGCCCTGCCTTCATCTTGTTTTGATCAGGGCCATTAGAAACTTTGTTCTGACACTTCCTGACTCGGTAAGGCAGTGCTGCAGCAATGCTGTACCCAAAGCAGCGCCTGGCAGTACCTGTCTCACCACCAACCCCGCATCACTACTTCTGCGACTACAACCTACTGACCCCCCTGGTGAAATTCCCAAGTGACCACGTTCTGTTGTTATTCCCATTAATTGCTCAACTGTAGTCCATCCGCTCAATAAATGCACAGTGAGGGCCTTTCTAACGGTCTGTTACAAACCTGTACCCTGTCTTCTGGCCTGCGGCTCATCTCCACTCTTGTGGCAGCCAGCTCCCTCTGTTTTAGGGTTCAGCAACACGTATTTGCTCTTTAAGGACTCCAGCTGGTAGGAGAAACTCTTGCTGGCCGGCTCAAACTCGATCTTCTGCAGAAGAACCTTCTTGGCAGAGGAGGCCAGAAGCTTCCCCAGTTCCCCATCGTCGGCCGAGTCCTTGCGGCCAGGCTTCAGAGCTTCCTTCAGCTTATCCACTATCGGCATGGTGCATCACTGTGGGGACAAGAAGGAGCACACACCTATGAAGAACCAAGGCTCGTGAACAAAGACGTCACTTCTCTTAAAACCCCCGTGGTCACGACGGATACCAAACACCACAAAAGCTTGCCTGGATCAGCCAGCCGCCAGCCCTACAGAGGACTGTGAAACGAGAAGACACATCACTCATCATCTGGATGTACAAAAGGACAAGGTGCCTCCACGGTAGGCCCACGCAGGCAGTGACCGCCCCTGTTACATGCATCGCTTCAACACACACTCATCAAGTGGCTCTGGACGCACGCTGGGTGCTATTTCCTTCCGAAGGCCACCGTGTCCTAACGTTAGCTCAAAACAGGGAAACACTACTTCTCACACACATTCTGGTTACACACACACACGGACAAATCCATGCGATAAAAGCAGCAGCATGCCGGTCAGATTAACATGAGTGTCTGTACAGACCTGCGCTCTTCAATACGAAGTCCACAGGCCACACGTGGCTACTGAGCACGTGAAATGAGGCTAGTCCAAACTGAGATGCGCTATAAGTGTAAAATACACACCAGATTTCGAAGACGTAGTATAAGAATGGAAAACATCTCAGTAATTTTTAGATAGGTTACAGGTTGAAATGATGGTATTTTATAAATATTCGGTTAAATAAATTGGGAAAATTAATGTCACCTTCTTTTTAACTTTAATGTAGCTACTGTGAAATTTTACATTGTGGCTTGCATTATATTCCCACTAGCTAGCCCTTGCACAAACTGTCTTTCTAGAAGTGGAGGAGGACCAAGGGAGAAGAGTGAGAGTAAGGCACAGCCCTGGAGGACGGCAAGACACCCGAACCCAAGCAAACGCTTCCCAGCCCACTCACCACGAGAGAACAAGAGCAACGTGGGCTAGTGGGAGATCCAGCCTCCTGTAGGTGGCAGCCCCAGGGGCTCCTATCGCCCTGAGCTACGAAACCCAGGGACAACTACTAGTACCTTCTCCAATCCTCCAGTTGTAAAATGGCAACGAAAATGACAAAAATAATAAGCTTAGGAAGTGCTGCGGAGCTTGCTACATATTAGCCCCTGACAGAGGCTTGGTAACATCTGTGCAGCTGCAGACACTGTAACCAAGAGGAGAGCGGTCCTGCTCATTGCTACACTTGTATCCGCCACTTCCCTTCCCACCCGGCTCCTCCCCACTCAGCCCTCCAGCCCAAGCTCAGGCTATCTGGATCTCCATTAGAAAAACACATCCTTCAAACTGTGCACGCACAGCAGAAAGATGACAACTCCCTGTGATACCCAGGACCTGGGCTACCCTGAAAGAATTGAGGAGTCAGGTGTGCCCCCAAGTCTGCTCCAGTGAAAGTAGGGACCTCTCCCACCTCTTAATGAGTCACTCAAATTAATCCATGTATTGTCATCTAATTCTGTACATGGATCAAGTATCTTTTCCTATAAAAGCCTCTATGAAGAATAGAAACATAAAAAACTGATTCTTTAAAAAACAAGCCTAAGTCCTCTGATTTGAGGAAATAAAAGAGCCTTTTCCTATGGGAATTATCTAAGACTTCTCACCAACTGAACAATCACTGCTGGGTCACATGCAGGTAACTGTGGAACGAAAAAACACACAGAAATCTCCGTAGCCTTACCTGGGATACGTGAACTTGGGCCTGCTACTTCCTCCTGCAGCATGGAATCAGGTTCCTAAGGGAGGGACGGAGCCGGACTGGGTAGGTGCTATGCTGGGCCCTCGAATCCAAGTGTTCCCGCTCCTGTACTCCGGCCTGTAAAATCACAGAGCTGCAGAATGCGTGTCGGCACCTGCGGGATGAACAGTGAGACCGTGATTCAAGGCTGACCCTCCTCCTGCAGGCTCTTCAGCCACTCCCCGTGGATGAAGTGTAGCACCTGTGACCATCTACCACGAATAAGCTGTCATCACAGTTCAGGAATGTCTACAGTGCTGACGTCAGGAGAACCGTGCTAACTAGCCGCAGATTGCTATGATGCACATGACATGGAAAACACTGCTGTCTGCTCCGTGTCTTCACCCTGACACTGGAGACAAATCCAGTGAACAGAAATCTCCCCACACTTGCCAGTCAATGCCAGTCTAATCTCATTTCCAGAGAGTAACAGGTAATAATAATAATAATAATCCCAAGCTTTTGGATTTCATGAACCAGTAAAATTAAAAACAAAAACAACTGAAGGAACAGTTAAGAGTGGCCAAATTTTTACTTTGCTAAGTGTGGATGTCTTCTTTCGTTGCCATCTAGAATCACCATGATTACATGAAATTAAGGTAGTTAAGAACTTTCTATAGTGAAAACAGGCAAACACACACAAATGATGGCGCATGCCTGTAGTCCCAGCTACACAGGAGGCTGAGGCAGGAGGATCACTTGAGTCCAGGAGTTCAAGGCTACCGTGAGCTATGATTGCACTGCTGCACTCCAGTCTGGGGGGCAGAGGAAGACCCCATATCTTTAAAAAATAGAATAAAATTAGGAGTTTGAGACCAAACACACAAATGGACAGAGATTAACACAGTGAGCACAAGTCCCCACTGCTCAGCCTCAAGAACTATGTCCGAGCAATCCTGATTCAACTCCCCACCCCCAGGTTGCTTTACAGTGAATGTCACACCTATCATTTCATCCATAAATAAAAGCAGATCAACTCCCCCAAAACCACAGAGAATAAAGAACAATCTGCAGCCAGGCACAGTGGCTCAGCCTGTAATCCCAGCACTCTGGGAGGCTGAGGCGTGTGGATCGTTTGAGCTCAGGAGTTCGAGACCAGGCTGAGCAAGAGTGAGATGCCATATCTACTAAAATTAGAAAATTAGCTGGACAACTAAAAATATATAGAAAAAATTAGCTGGGCATGGGGGCGCACGCCTGTAGCCCCAGCTACTCCGGAGGCTAAGACAAAAGGATCACTTGAGCCCAGGAGTTTGAGGTTGCTGTGAGCTAGGCTGATGCCACCACACTCTAGGCACTCTAGTCCCGGGAACGGAGCAAGACTCTAATCTCAAAAGAAAAAAAAAAAAAAAAAACAATCTGCAAAGTGAAGACATTCCGTCTTTGATATCATGACTTTTTGTCAGGACTCACACCTTACCGTGGACAGGCCAGAACTTTGTCATGGACCTTTGGGAACCACTTAGCCAGGGGATAAACAAAACTTGGGATATTTAACCCAATTTCGCTCAAGATAAGTAACTTAAACGTAACCCACTCCTTGATGCAGAGTCAGAGATTTCGGACAAACATAATTTTTCAAGCTGTGGCAGAATGATCAACCTCTACTTCATCAATTCCACCTAAAACATTAAACAGTAACCTAAAAATGCCCTCTCTGAGGTGTAGAAACCCAAGAAAAAGCGCTCTTGTAACCATCAGCAAACCCTGTGCGCACTTACACTAACACACTCTCCAAACTCTCGCGGTCCAGGAACTGCCTATATGTCTATACTTCCACCTCTGGGAGTACTCGAGTGTAGCTTCCTCAGAACCACCACTATTTAATAGAGCACGTTTTCTCTCTCTCTCCTCCCTTTAAATTCACTTTTCCAGGAAAAAGCTGCGTTCAAGACTCACAGGGTCAACCACGTGCTGGGAGGAGGAGCCCAAGACAGAAGCGGGCCTCCTTGGGGCGCCCTCGGAGGGGGCCCCAGCTCCCCGCAGGGCGCCCAGGGCAGCCCGGGCCTCCCCCTGTCCCCCGGGTCTGCTTCCCGGTCCTCGTCCCAGGAACCGGACTGTGCGGGCGCCCGCTGTCCCCTCGCCCTCTGGCTCAGGATGCTGCTCCAGCACCCGGGCCCCCGGGGACGCGCCGCAGCACCCGACTAAAGCGAGGGGTGTTTGGGGAGCGCGCGTCCGCGACCGCGAGGACGGTTACCTTCCCCGGGCGAGCCCTTCCCGAGCCTCCGGGGAAAGGAAGCGAGAGCCCCGCTCCGCAGCCGGACAGGCCGCGCTCCCAGGCCTCGGCCCGAGCAGCTCCGGAGAAAGCCCGTATCCGCGTACCCGGCGCCGCGGTGGGTGCAGACGGGGGCCGCGTCCGCACGGGCCGCCGCCGTCCTCCACCCCGGCTCCCACCGGGTCCCGGGAGACGGCGGGGCGGCCCGGCGCGCACCCTCCCGGCCTCCGGGCACCCCGGCACCCGCGCGCACGGCGCACCCCCGGATCGGCCCTCCTCGGGAACCCCAAACTCCTGCGCGGACAGCGCACCCCGGCCTCCGCCGGGTCCCTGCGCGGACACCCCGGCCTGCCCAGGGACGCCCCACTTCCTCCGCCCCCGCCACTGCCCACCCCGAGCGCCTCCGGTGCGCCCCGCGCCCGGCCCGGGGAAAGCCCCGCCGCCCCGACCGGGCCCCTGCCTACCTGCGCGCCCGGGCCGGCCCGCTGCAGACCAGCGCGGCGCCGCCGTCTCCTGCGGCCCGCGGCCCAGCACGCGCACCATCCGGGCCTCCGGCGCCTCACACACGTGTCACCGCGACGCTTAAAGGCGCCGCACCCCGCGGCCACGCTGCGCACACACCGAAAGGCCAGGGCGGCTTTAAGAGGCGGGGCTGGCTTCAGCCGACGCCCTGGACCCGCCCACTACGGCCTTACGCGTAGTACTCGTCACCTCCTCATCCCGGAACTCATCAGCCTACGCGATGACGCAAGCACGCCGCGCCCGCCCCCTGCGCTGCGGCCCCGTGAGCTCCCGCGGCGCACGCGAGGCGCCGCCACTTCCGGCGGACGGGCCTGGTGCCGGCGGGCGCGGAGACAACCGGACGCTGCGGAGAGCCGGGGTCGGGGCGGGGTCCTGACCTCGGGGACGTGGCCAGGGTGGCGGCTCCGAGGGCGCGACTCCGGTTGGCGCTTTACCTTCCGGGTCCCCGGCTCCGCCTGCTCCCTCCAGGCTTGCATCCCGGGACTCCTGCGGGAAGGTCTCGGTTGAACATCCGCATACACCTGTTGCTTTTGCAGTGGTTTTAAAATCCCCTTGACCGGCAGCTTCCTCCCCCTTCCCCAGGGCGGGCCGGGAGAGTGTGTCCCGGTGCAGAAACAGAGAAGCACGGGCCAGGGAGGGACTAAACTACTTTTTCCAGAAGGCAGAGCTTTGCACACACGGCCCCACCTGCCGTGTCATTCTGGACACAGCAGTAGGAGCGATGACACCACTGATACCCTAACTCGAATCTCCTGCCCTCCCCGCGGGCCTACTGCAGGGCCTGGGGACTGAGCGAGAATAGGTGTAACTGGAACAGAAGCCACCTTGTGCTTGTCACTTGGGTGCTGGTGTTTTTTGAAAAAGCAAACAAAGCCCGAACAAAACCGCCTAAGCCTGATTGCGACTGTGCCCTATCTAGAATTCTCTAAGAGTTGGAGATTGAAATTTACCCTTGGTCCCCAGACTTGAGTCCACTGACTGCCCTAAGGCAGTGATTCCAACGAAGACTACTGTCACTGTTTCAGGCTTGATACATGTAGTATCAGATGAGTGATTTAAAGTGGTGAGGACCCTGGCAACTGCCAGGGGAATGAGGTGACCTGGGTGTCAGGCCGAAAGCTCTGCCCTAATTAGCAGGTTGCCCTGGACTCTTTTTTTAATATGCCCAGGCCTCTATTTCCATATCTGGGGTAAAAAAGACAAACTGTAGCATTTCTTTAATTCATTCTTCTTATAAAACCAACAGCATTTGCTACCATTGCCAGCTCATTAAGTGCCATGTACCAAGCTGGTCACTTTACCAACATTATCTAATCCTCATAGCGACCCTACAAAAAGAGATTATTGTTCCCATTGTACAACTAAGAAGACGGAGTGTGCAAGATCCTAGCAAGCTAGTAGTAAAGTTTGAACCCAGGTCTGTCAGACTCCCAAGTTCACACCCGGAGCTCAAGCCCGAAGAGGTTACCCTAAATTCCTACAGGAGATGACAGGGGACTTGCCTAAGAGCATGCACAGCCACACCCCCATTCACTCCCCTTTCTAATGCCCTCCTGGAAGCCTCAGAGTAGCATTTCCTCAAGATATGTTCACATGGGCCAGTGTGGAAGTCTTTTCTGAGGTGTGCTGCCTCAAAGGCCACCAGAAAATGCAAATTAAAACCACAGTGAGGTACATTTAACACCTACTAAAGTAACTAAAATTAAAAAGACTAAATGTTGGAGAGAATTAGGAGCAACTAGGACTCTCAAACTGCTGCTGAGACTATAAATGAGGCAACTCTTTTGGAAAATAATTTCAATGTTTCCTTTAAGTAAACAGCTAACCTATGGCACATCCATTGCTATAACTATAGTACCTACCAGCTGTAGGCTGGTAAATTCCAAATCTACATATGCAGACCTTCCCTCCCCACCTCAAATCTTGGAAGCAGGGTCCAGTGACGCCCCTGTAACCTCTGGAACTGCTAAACTCTCCCTCAATGTCCCACAAGCACGTCAAACTCACCATGTCCACCTTCCCGAGGTGGCCTCTCCTTTTCCGCCCTGTTGCCCACTGGGCTGGTGTGCCGGCTGGGACCAAATCCTTGCTCTTTTCCAGGTCTTTTCTGCATCACTGAGTGCTGACTCCAGCTGGCTGCGTTTCCCAGGCTCTCTTGCGAACTAGTTTTCAGGTGCAGCAGGCCACCTGGGGGCACTGGCGAGACTGGAGGGCAGAGGGGAAGAGAAGCAGGTCCTTCTTCTTCCTCCCTCTCGGCTTTGGAATCTGGCAGAGGCTCCAGCTCCATCCAGAGAGGCCCGCTGTGGTTCCGGCCTCCCTGGGCTCTTGTAATGCAGCCTCCACCCTCTGTCTTTGCACTCTGGGGATGGTGACAGTTTCCTGCTGGTAGTCTCCGGGATGTCCCCTGTTCCCTTGTTGGCTTTTCAGGGAGTTTCTTCCATCAGAGTGTGACCAATCCTCACATTAATTCCCCTTGTGCTAAAGGCTGCACACAGAGGGGTCTGGGTTCCTGGTTGGACTGCAACTGACAGCAACGTCCACCTTCCTGGCCAGAGTCCTAGGCTCCCGTCTCTCCTCACCCCATGGAAATGATCAGTCAACAAGTGTTGCTAATGTTGCCTCTCACATATCTCTCAAACCATCCCCGTTGGTCACTTTACCAACATTATCTAATCCTCATAGCGACCCTACAAAAAGAGATTATTGTTCTCATTGTATAGCTAAGAAGACGGAGTGTGCAAGATCCTAGCAAGCTAGTGGTAAAGTTTGAACCCAGGTCTGTCAGACTCCCAAGTTCATACCCGGAGCTCAAGCCCGCAGAGGTTACCCTAAATTCCTACATGAGATGACAGTAGGAATCCCATTGACCAAGTAAAGCCTACCACCATCTTGGCCAGCCTTATTGGAATGGCCAGATATGTTGCTCAAACTGCCGAGTAGAATAACATTTTAAAATCTCGCCTGACTGAGCCCCTTCTCCGGCTCCCAATGCTGAGGAGGAGGGCCACGATTCCTAGTGTCACCTCTCGTGGTCCCTGGGGCCTGGCCCATGCCTGTCTAATTGGCCTCATTCCCAGGCACTCCCTGTTCTGGGTCCCTCAGCAGAGCCAAATCCAAACTACCACAGCCCCACCTCACCCAAGCCAGGCTGGCCGTGCGCCAGGTTCCAGCTGGTCTTTGGCCTAGAATCCCTTCCCTACTTGCCCTTCAACCCCGGCTCAGGCGCCGCCTCCCTCAAGAAGTCTTTCTGGATTCTCTCCCTCCCTGCCATTAGGTTGGAATGTCCTGTGGACTTCCCCTCCCTCGGTCACCATGACTCCTAAGAGCCAGGACTATGTGTCATTCATCTGTGTCTCTGCATCTGGCATGCTGGGGGCATGCTGGGGGTGAGTGTTCATGAAAGAGAACCAGATGGAAAATGAACTGCTTGAGATGAGACAGTTGTATAATCTCTAAACGCTCAAAGAGAAAACCAGGGAAACATTGAAGACGAAAGAATAAAATATTCTCAATTTTAAGAAGCTGTAACCAAAACGAATCACATTAGAACTTATCTCAAGAAAAAAAAAGTGCATTAGGCCAGGCACGGTGGCTCACACCTATAATCCTAGCATTCTGGGAGGCCGAGGTGGGTGGATCGTTTGAACTCAGGAGTTCGAAACCAGCCTGAGCAAGAGCGAGACCCCGTCTCCACTATAAATAGAAAGAAATTAATTGGCTAACTAATATACAGAGAAAAAATTAGCCAGGCATAGTAGTGCATGCATGTAGTCCCAGCTACTCTGGAGGCTGAGGCAGCAGGATTGCTTGAGCCCAGGAGTCTGAGGTTGCTGTGAGCTAGGCTGACGCCACGGCACTCACTCTAGCCTGGGCAACAAAGCGAGACTCTGTCTCCAAAAAAAAAAAATGCATTAACAGAATAGCAATATTGTCACCCAAAAGTCACCTGGTTGGCTTCCTGCCTTGGAAGTAGAGGTCAGTGGACTTGGCCCCTCTCCCAGTTCCACAGCCCGTAGACAGCTAAAGGTTTGCACTAATTTCCAGAGGGACCGACGCTGCATTTCTAATTGTAAATTAACAATTTCCCTTCTGACTTGAACATCAGTCCTTGGGGGTTTTGGTTCCTGTGAGCTGCCCTTGCCAGGCCTACACAAGCCTGACGATTTCCAGCTTCTAGAAACTGCCGGATTAAGAGTCACCGTTGCCTGGTTGAACCCAGCAAGGAAAAAGCCACATGGTGGGGCCTCAGAGCCACCTTCTCTCTTCTGTGCACTTGGTCATGGATAGATTTGGTGGTTTGGTTAAAAGGTAGCCCCCAGGCCTTCAATCCCTGTGCTGGCCTTGGCCACTGACCTGCCTGTCTCCTCCATCCCCTCCGAGAAAGGATGTTCTCTCTTTAAAACAGCTAAGCCACCATCAGGGCCACTAGTGGGATTTTCCCTGCGGGTTCGGGAATAGCTCTTCGCAGCTGCGGACGTCAGTGCTGTCTGAATCCTCCCAGCGGCCGCTCCCTGCCCGCTGCGTGAACCGCTGCCCTCCTCTCCACGCCCGCAGCTCGACATTCCAGACTCGCCCATGACTCCCACTTCATACGCCGGGCCATCGCTGATGCTGCGCTTGGTTTCTGTGTCACCGTGGTTACAGTTTGAGACACGGCGTTCCTTTGCACTGCCCTGTGACTGCTCTTTGAAAGCAGCTGGTGTGTCTGTGTTTGGTCTCTGGGGCTAGATCGTATAAATTGTGCAAGAGTGTTCGAGACACTGTCTCCTCGGTCCCCGTGCGACCTTGTTCTGCCCCCTCCCCTTGCCCAGGGGGCACGCGTAGTAGGCCCGATTCAGCCTCTCCCTGCCGCGTCTGGGGCTGCCCGGGAATGGGGTGCAGGGGCCGAGGGAGCCGAGACCAGAAGCTGCCTGTGGAGGGTTGAATGGTGACCCCGCCAAAAAACAAGATACGTTCACGTCCTAACTGCTGCTGCCTCTGAACGTGGCCTTACGTGGAAATAGGGCCTTTGCAGGTGTCACTGAGTTGAGATGAGGTCACACTGGAGTGGGGTGGGTCCTTACCACAAGGGCTGCTGCTATAAGAAGAGGCCAGGCAGAGAAGGCCACGTCCAGGCAGAGGTGGAGACTGGGGCGATGCCGCCGCAGGCCGGGGAGTGCATGGAGCCAGCAGCCGTGCTGGGGAAGGGTGCCTCCCGGAGCCTCCGGAGCAAGCACGGCCCTGACGGCACTTTGGTTGCAGACGTCTGTGGTGCAGAACCGCGACAGCAACCTGGATTTTCAGAACCCCCTGCAAAGGTGCAGGCGGCGTTCGCTGCAGGATTTCCAACGTGACTGAGGCTTGCTTCATTTTTGTGGTGTAACTTCCAGGCATCTTGACCTTGTAACTTCCAACACACTAGCAAGTTTCTTTCTGTGGATGCTGGAAATTGTCCAGCTGGTCTAGCGAGGTGGTTTTGGAATGTCACCGTAGGGGAGGTGTAGAGAGAATGCCTGTGAAACAGACTTGACACTCAGACACTGCCGTTGGGAATGTAAGATGGTACGGCCACTGCGGAAAACGGTTCGGCGTTTCCTCAAACAGCTGAACGTAGAACTTGCACATGTACACACCCAGTCGGAAGCAGGGACACAAACAGATATTTGCACACCCGTGTTCACGGCAGCACTGTTCACAATAGCCAAAAGGTAGCAACAACCCAAGTGTCCTCTGGTGGACAATGGATGCACAACATGTGATGCGTACATGCCGTGGACTGGTCTTCAGCCATAACGGGAAGGGAGCACCCACACCTGCTATCGTACTAAGGAACCTTGAAGACATTATGCTAAGTGAATAAGCCACACATGGAAGAACAAATGTTGTATGGTTCCATTTACATGGATATCTCATGTTGTATGAGATATCTAGAATAGGCAAGTCCACAGAGACAGAGAGTTGATTACAGGTTACCAGGAGGAGGGGCAGATGGGGAACTATGGCTTCATGATTACAGAGTTTCTGTCTAGGGTGGTAAAAAAGTTTTGGAGGCCGGGCGCAGTGGCTCATGCCTGTAATCCTAGCACTCTGGGAGGCCGAGGTGGGCAGATCGTTTTGAACTCAGGAGTTCGAAACCAGCCTGAGCAAGAGCGAGACCCTCTCTCTACTAAAAATAGAAAGAAATGAATTGGCCAACTAAAAATATATAGAAAAAATCAGCCGGGCATGGTGGCGCATGCCTGTAGTCCCAGCTACCTGGGTGGCTGAGGCAGGAGGATCGCCCGAGCCCAGGAGTCTGAGGTTGCTGTGAGCTAGGCTGACATCACAGCACTCTAGCCCAGGTAACAGAGTGAGACTCTGACTCAAAAAAAAAAAAAGAAAGTTTAGGAAATAGTGGTGATGGTTGTAAAAGCTTTGTCAGTCAGTGAAGTTAATGCCACTGAAATGTACACTTGAATGGTTAAAATGGCAAATTTTGTTATAATCATTGCACTGCAATTTAAAAATATTAATAATGTACTACAAACTATTGAATTGTATACTTTATTATTATTATTATTATTTTTAGAGATGGGGTCTCGCTCTCTCTCCCAGGCGGGAGTGCAGTGGCACAATCACAGCTCACTGTAACCTGGAACTCCTGGGCTCAAGCGATCCTCCCACGTCAGCCTCCTGAGGAGCTGGGACTACAGGTGCGTGCGACCACGCCTGGCTGAATTGTACACTTTGAATGGTGTGGTATGTGAATTGTACCTCCATAAAGTGGTCTTTCAAAAGCCACAGGATGGCTTCTGTGCACTAAAGACTGTGCCCCTCCTCTGGGTTCCAGGAAGTATCTGTTGGCCAGGACGGCGTTTCTCAGCCCTCTTGGCATCTAGTGAGTAATTCTCAGCACAGCACGGGAGAGGAGGTGACAGGTGTCACTCCCAAGCCAGAGATGCTGGGAATCTGCAGTGCCTTCCTTGCCCCCTCTTTCTGGCTTAAAGCAGAGGACTCCGAGGCTCCAGAAGGTGGTGGGTCACAGAGGGAAAGAGCCAGGGTCCCTGCATCATCCATGGAAGGCCACCTATCCAATGTCCCCATCTGTCTATTGTGTGAGCAAGAAATAAACTGGCCCAGTGGGGTGGCTCACACCTGTAATCCCAGCACTTTGGGAGGCCGAGGTGGGAGGATTGCTTGAGGCCAGCAGTTCTAGACCAGCCTGAGCAACATAGGGAAAGCATGTCTCTACAAAAGATAAACTTAGCTGGGTGTGGTGGCACTCACCTGTAGTCCCAGCTACTCGGGAGGCTGAGGCAGGAGGATCTCTTGGGCC